TTTGAACTAATCTGACTGGATGATCTGGTTAAATTGTTTCTCTAAATTGACCTGAGATGACATGTGTTGTGAATTGGTGCTGAATAGCCATCCAGCCTCCTCATGTTGGCTCAGATGCTTTACGTTTTGTTTGTTCTGAGAGATTGACACTCACTAATCATCCTCTAATCCAGTGACTCCATCAAAGAACAAGAGCTCCAGCTGTGGTCTTCCTGCTCGTCAAAGACCAGGTGTACTGTATGTGGGCTTTCACCACCCGACAAAGGATCCCTCACACTAAGCATGCTTAGTCGTAGCTAAGTGAATTTGGGAGGTCAAAGACACCGATCCAACCCAGTGTGTGATCATCATGGAAGGGTCAGACCCACGTAAACACAAACGGAGTGTTTCCACAGTGATGCCAACAGTTTGCCATGAGGTCCACCTGCGTTAATCCCTTCAAAGGCTGCGTGTCAATCCAGACGACTCGTCTGAAGTGTTTTCCTGGAGGAACATGCAGGGTGGCAACACATGTGACCGTCTGTTTTTAGGTTGTGAGCTTTGGATTCACATCGCCTCAGGCTTGTGGATTTGGCCTTCGCTAGCAGGTTGCAGCATGTTTATCCTAAAATGTTCAACAATGCTTTCCTGTATATCTCCCAGATATCCATGCTGATTGGTCCATGTCAGCAGGGTGGGCTCATGTCGATGTTAGCGCTCAGGGTGTTGCAGATACTGAATTTGAGGCGTTTCCTAACATGGAATCATGGTCCAACAGCTCTACTTTTGGCCTGGTGGCGTGGCATGCCAATGAAGAATCCTTATTGTCTGAAAACAGGTACAATGTTGGTGATTCATTGGGCATGGTGGATGTGGCGCGGTTCAAACGTCTGATTTGCATCAGCTGAGTCCAAAGCGTCGGACGCCAGAGTTGTGAGATCTGAACTTTTGTAGCTTGATGTGGCGCCTTAGCCAATCAGATACCTGGATTTTCTCTCTTGTCTCTTTGACAGAAAACATATTCAGAGCTTAAAAACTTCCCAGACAGAATCTTTTTGTAACAAAGAAAGTGTTCATAGATTCTATGAACACTATTCATAGGTTCTATGTTCCTTTTCTATGTCTGCTTCTGTCTCCTTGAACCCCAGTCAGCTTCAGCAGATGGCCGCTCACACTGAGCCTGGTTCTGCTGGAGGTTCTTCTTGGTAAAAGGGTTTTTCCTCTCCACTGTCGCTACAAGCATGCTTAGTGTGAGGGATTGCTGAAGAGTCAATGAGTTGAAAACTTTAAATCAATCTGACTGGATGATCTGGTTGAGTTGTCTCTGTAAAGTGACCTGAGATCACATAATTTGAATTGGAGCTTTAGAAATAAACTGAATTGAAACTGTTAGGATTATTTTATTGATGATATGTGAGACTGTAAAAACTCTAACATTACCTGCCTGTTACTGTCAGATCTATTGTCTTCCCAAACAGTTTTTCTAATTAGGACAGTTCTTTTGTCAGAATACACAGATCAATTTGTAAATAACAGAGATTTGGGAATAAAATGATAGTATACATAGAGTGGATAACAGTGAGTTCTCTATGCTTTCATCATCACACTACATAATATTTTGATAAGGTTGGAGCCAGTGACATCTCATCTGCAAACGTGTATAGACTTTGACAGACTTTATTGTCATTTTGTACACACAGGGTTTATACAAAACTACATTTTGTTCAGTACAGCTCTTAAGACATTTCCATTTTTCAAAGTGCAGCAGTGATCAAATTTAAACATAGGACTGAGATATGATTTACAGTTTTTCCAACATTTAGCTTTTTTATTTATTTTTTTATTTTATTCAACAGTTCAGCAGTCTGATGGCAGTGGGGAAGAAACTGTTGCAGAATCTGTTGGTCTTGCAGTGAATGCTGCAAAGCCTCTTCCCAGAGGGCAGCAGTCCATGGTGGGGGGGTGGGGGGTCATTGATGATGTTACGGGCTTAGGACACGCAGCGCTGGGATGAAATGTCTTTAATGGAGGGAAGAGGAGCCCCCATGATCTTCTCTGCTGTTCTCACCACTCCTCTCACCTTCTTCCAGTCTGAGGCGCTGCAGCCTCCACACCACACAGTGAGACAGCTGGTCAGAACGCTCTCTATGGTGCTGCTGTAGAAGGTGGGGAGGATGGGTGGGGGAGGGTGGGCTCTCCTCATCCTCCATAGGAAGTACAAGCACTTCTGTGACCTTTTGACCAGTGAGGTGGTGTTTACATTCCAGGTGAGGGTGTCTGTGATGTGCACCCCCCGGGAATTTAATGCTGCTGACCACCTCTACAGCTCTTCTTCTCCACATTCAGGATCAGGCTGTTATCTTTCCACCAGTCCACCAGCTGCTCCACCTCCTCTCTGTAGTCCAGGTCATTATTGTCTCTGATGAGGCCCACCAGCGTGGGGTCGTCTCCAAACTTCACCATGTGATTGGTGGTGAACCTGTGTGTCATGATGTGATAATGCGTCAGACTGGAGCTGTGTAAAATGCTTCCTTAATTGTGATTCGTGCCACTTCATGAGATATGAACCCGGTTGGTAAGCAGCTGCCTTCTGTAACTCTAAGCAACTTCTCTGAACTGAGTAAGATTATAATTTCTATTAGAATCTGTTGTCCTGTCTCCTGGTTATTTACGGACGAGGACTAGGGCCACTGAAAAAATAAATACAAGTTAACTGATTTTTGAATTTTATTTCAGTTTAATATGGGAAGAAGTTCAGAATTCTGACTTTTTTCTCAAAATCCTGTGTTTAATCTCAAAATTCTGACTTTAATCTTAGAATTTTGGATCTTAATGTAGATGGGCACCATGAAGGAAGAGATGTGGGAGCACTCAGCTTCACTGACAAAGATGTTAGTTGTTTGGGAGGGCCAGTAACACTTTGGTGAGCAATTACAGAATTATTAGTTTTTGCGTGCCTAAGGGGTCGTGGTGATGCTATTTCATTAATAGAAGAGCAGAAGGTGATTCAAACAAGAGTACTAGTTAGTTTCTAGACAAGGCTATGGCTTGATCTTAACATGCGTGTTAGCTGTCAGAATTCAGTCAGAATTCTGTGAAAAAAAGTCAGAAATCTGACTTTTTTCCTTTATTAAACTGAAATATTAAAAAATCTGTTAACTTTTTTTATTTCTTCAGTGGCCCTAGTCCTCTTCTGCAATTATCTAATACGTAAACATTATGAAGTGTTATTTAAAGAGTTTGTCACAAATGATCATTGCTCAGGAAAAGAACCAGAGAGAGAAAGCTTCAAGATCTAAGCTCTGCCCAAAATTTTAAAGTAAAAAAAAAAAAAATTGATTAAGTTCCTTTTTTGTTTAGTTGTTTTTAAAATACAAAAATACAAGACTTTAATGTGTTTTTCAATCTGCTTTTAAATTTTGAATTTTTTTTTTAACAATGATCATTTCTTTTTACTACTAAATGTTTTTTTTTTTACCTTCTGTATAAAAATTATTTCGTTTTTGTGTTGTCTCTTTTGAAATCTTTTCGGTTTCAATTTTTTTTTCAATTTTAAGTTTAAAAAACATTTTTCAGTTTCATGTCTTTTTGTTTCCTGTTCCAAACCGACTTTTAAATATTTTCTAGGAAAGGCACAGATTTTGCTCCATACAATATTTTTTTTTCATAATTAGAAAAGAAGCAAAAAGCGACATAAAGGTAGAAAAATGAAACCCCTGATAAGAAGAGGAGCGTCACCGTCTTTAGGTGAACAGTTCTATGCTCTGCTATCAGGTTCCTGTTCTGGTCCAGATCCAGATTAGAGCCATTTATGCTAAAGCAAAACTATTTAAAGGTATAGAACATGATCTTTTATTTCCAGGTGGATCATCTAAATAAGTGATTCTCCTAACTGTCAATCATTCTGGTGATATGTTTACGTAAGGCAGTCCTACATTCTCACGCCGTTAGCAATCTTTTCTGCGCATGCTCACTTTCAGGCGTATATCTGTGGTGAGCTACGGTTTCAGACGGTCTTTGAAGGTCACCTTTCTTACAGCAGTTCTTTGAAAATGGCAGAGGGTCGTAAGAGAAAAAGTGTTTACGAAGTGCGTGAGAAAAAAAGGAAGGCCTCAGGTATATCCCCGAATTCTTGCGCTGTCAGGGTTCTGCCTTTTGTTTAAGTTTATTTTTATTTTGTATTTGCAGTTATTTTTTTAGCAATGTTTTGTTCTTGGGCTGCTCTCTGTTGCCCCCTTGTGTTTGTTTCCTTTTCCCTTGGATTTCTTCTCAATGCTTCCATCCACACCTGTTCCTTGTCATCTCATTAGTCCAGTCTTGGTTCTGTCTCCTATATAAACTCTCCCGGTGCAGTTCCTCAGTGCTGGTTCCTCGTCTTTTCCTGGCTCCTCATGTATGTTTTCCCTGATGTCTCCTAGATTCTGTTTTTTTCTGTATTCGTTATTTTGGATTTTTGGATTTCTGGCTCAGTTGCTTCATTAAATCTACAAAACTCACCTCTTCCTTCTCACCTCTGCATTTGGGTCCTCAAAAAGTTCAACCCAACAGTGACGGAGACTCTCCTCACAAAGCATTATTGGATTTACTGTTGCCACCTGACAGCGGCGACTAATAACAATCATGGCGCAGGCTCTGCGCAGAGGGGGAGGAGTTATGTGACCAATGGTGCAAAAAGTAGTGATCATCTGTCTGAACAGTCAGTTAACTTAGTTCACTATAAAGTCAACTATATAGTCCCCACTCTATAGAGTGATGGAGGGATTTAGGGGTTAGGGTTGACGTTCAGACACAGTTAGCTGGTATGAGCTATAAGAACAGAAATTTTAAACAGAGCGTGCATGAGGAGAAATGGGCTCCTGCACGCTCTCGCACACGCATTTGTTTTAAAATAAAATTTTTCACAATTTGGAGAGAATCTTCCACCATACCTTTAAACTCTGAAAGCCAAACCTTCATGAGGAAAGTTTAATTTCAGAGGTGTATTCCAGAGTTTGCAGGAAACATGAGGACCAGAGGCGTCACCATGTAGGAAATATATCTCTTTATTGGTTGAATGTCTCTGTGTGGGTCATGTGATGTGAGCCGGGTTCTGTCTGAAGTCCAAGCAGTGCAGGGCGGTGGCCAGAGCGGCGTACAGGTGGGAGCTGCTGAACCTCAGGCAGTAAACTGGGCTGCTCACAGAGTCTGAGCTTAGCTGGAAGAACTGAAAACAATGTTTCTGTTAAATTCCTCTGAAGGGGGAAGTTTTCCATCCCACTCTGAGAAGGAAGACCTACCTGCAAGCATCTAGCCTGTCGCTTGTCCCAAATCCGGACCACACCGTAGTACGAAGAGCCGCTGGCGATCATGTTATTCCCGTCGGTCTGGATGCAGTAGAGAGCGCTGTCATGAGGCTCCTCCCACTCCATCACGCACTTCCTGTTGGAGGAAAGCAGAGATTTGATTCCAGTGATACATGGAGCCGTGTTCCCCCATCAGATACTGTTCCCCCCTACATTAGACAGGGGCAACGGTATGTGAGGGGGTGTGGTCTATCTATCTCTCCCTATAGCCTAACATTTGATCGTTCAGCTTTCCCGTAAGGGGGGGTTACCATTAGGCAAAACTTGGCCCCAAGTTCCTGGGGCCCCATAAAACTCTGTTAACATGTATGGTTAATACAACTATTCCTTATTGGTGCACATTATGTTTTTGTTTTTGCTCCTAGCGTCAAATCCAGCGACTTTTTTCTGCTAGTGGAGACTTTGGAGACAACATCTAAAAGCAGCGAACTCTGCTCTCCAGAGCGAGTAGATTGGTAACCCCGCCTCCTGCTCTCCTCTATCTTGTCTGCTGTCATGATTCATGCAGCTATTATTTCATCCAAATGAAAAATGGAGAACAGAGAAGCAGATCATGGCTTGTCTACAGTGAAAAGAAGGACTGGGTTATTTGCTTTGGAAACAAAGGAAGGAGCAATCAGCTAAGTGAGCTTAGTGCTTGGAAAACATCTTTCATTCCTTTTGAGACAGCATGAAAAGTCAGCTGAGTACAAAACATAGAGAGGAAAAAAACAAGGAAATGAACAAGAAGAGAGGGACACAACCTAGAACAGATAATGGATGTCTATTCTATTAACATTTCTCTATCTGTATAAAGGGTCTAATTTATGTGTATTCTTCTCAATTTAGAGGGGCCCCTGCCTGTCTTTGCCCAGGGCCCCAAATTTCCTAAATGTGCCCCTGGTCAGCTGTTACGTGCCTTCAGCAAGCATTCCAGTTTTTTTGCCTTTTGGGCATTGCGGAGATGCAGAGGAAACCTCATCTGATGGGGGAACATGGCTCGATGTGACACCGCATCTTTCTGTGTTCAGACTTCTGACTGTTAACTGATCCATTATTGTTCCTTATAAGCTACCCAGGATTTTCCCACCCTAGTTTCCTTGGTAACGGTTTAACACACCTTATCGACATCAAAGACTTTCATTGTTCAGTAACCCTGTCCTGTTATTTGCTCATAATGTACCAGAGATCAGCACCAAGGTGTCGGTATTAACCTAAAAAGTTCCCTTCATCTGATTTTTCTCATTTTGATGTTTGTCCCAGTTTAACTGGCCCCAGTTATGTCAACTGGTTCCAATATGCTGGGAACCAGTAACTGGAGCAGGAGGGCATTTCCCTTACCAGTGTTTGATGTTTAATGTTTAAAGTCTAATAATATCTTTTCACTTTACTTTCACATCATTAAGTTATAAAATCCTGGATTTTAATCATCATGTTCTCAGTAAACTCTACATTTAATCAGCCATAGTGGAACCGACTGATACTACATACTGAAGGAAATACAACAGCATGTATTAGGAATAATACAAATGCCAGTAACTTCACCCTCATTCAATTTAATTCAGTTTATTTCTCTAAATCACATCATCTCACCTCAATGCTCTGTACAGAGACAATTCAGTCAGCCTGGTTAGAAGTTTGCGATCTAAAAAACAGTGATGGACGAAGTACTCAACAGTAGTACTTGAGTAAAAGTACTGATACTCGTAGTCAAATCTTATTCAAATTACTCTCTCAAACATCTACTGAAGTTAAAGAATTGATGTGCTCATGTTTATTGTTCTTTTTTTGAATTATTTTTTTATTTCAAAAAAAGTACTTACGTATTCAAAAGTAGATACATTTAAAAGTATTTCAGTATCCAAGAATACAAATTACATTTCCTAATATCAGAACATTTCTGTGTAATTTTCAGAGTAATTCTAAAGAAGCTGTAACTTTCAGATACCACCTGATGTATTGATGCATAGAACCACATGCTATAGATTCTGCACCACCTGGAAAGAACTTCAGCATAAAGATGAGGACAGATATTTTATTATTTCACTTTTAAAAGCAAACTGATTGTCCTCACTTTTTCTTTATAGAATAGAGGTTAAAGGTTGAATCTATGACCACAAAGAAACTATAACTCTGACCTGAGACTCATCCTACTGAACAACTTGGACACATGGCAACAACTAATAAAATTAGAAACTAATAATATCTGCTCTGAGTTCCTCACATCTGTGCAACGTCAGTAAATCTGTAAATCAGAAGGAACTAACAGCTTCTTAGAAATGGAGCGTTGTGCCACGATCATGGTTTTTGGACATTGAGAACCAGTGTCCATGTTTCATCTTGACATGATGACCGGAGAAGAAAATACAATTTTGACTCATAAACAGCTGTAAGACCTCTGCAACCGCCTCAAATCACTCTTTCATTTATTGTTCTAACACACAGTTAGTAGGGCGTGTGTTCATAAAAAATGTATAACAGCTGACATAATATCTGATTAAATAAGATATTTACCACAATAAACATCTTAAAGTATCAGAAATATAAACTCCCAGCTGGCTGGGAATTGAATATAACAGTTATTCACAACATTAATGTGGCATCCAACCTGCATGGGAATTGAATATATTAAAATCACAACAGGAGTGAAAGTTATAAGTACTCCCCAAAAAATGACTCAAGTAAAGATACTGAAAGAAAGTACTTAAGTACAGTAATCAGTACAGTTCATTTACTGTTTCTTTCACCACTGCTAAGGAAAACCAGGTGACTGCATCCAGTCATTGACTTGGAAGACATGCTCCTCCTAAATAACCTTTGCTTGCATTTTGTCATCGACTTTAAAGCAATCCCTGACACCAAGTATGCTTGTAGCGACAGTGGAGAGAAAAAACTCCCCTTTGAACAGGAAGAAACCTGCAGCAGAACTCATACAGACGTCAATACCAAAATAAACACTTTTACAGTGGAGGGTCAACAGATTTATAAACTCTTAGTAAAATAAAATGTGACATGAAAATGGCTGCATTTTTTGGGAATTCAAGTAAATTTCCTACATGTTGTTTGCTGCATTCTAATATAATGTTTGCAACCAAAAACATCCTTAAATGGCCTGACTGGGAAGCTTTCCTCATCTGACTCACGAGTTTTCCTTAAAACTATTGAGTTTTTTTTCCAGAAGGCTGAGTGGCGTGTTCTGTTGCTCTGAGGTAGGAGCAAATCAAAGGGAAATCAAAGTTTAACAAGCACTTAGTTCATGTAAAAAAGCGAGGGCAGGTTATATTGACAGCTCAGAACACAGTCGACAACAAGAGGCTAAAACTGGGAACGCATGAAAACTGGTTAAAGTTTGTCAACAGGTCAAATACAATCAGGGACTGAAAGAAAGAAACATTCAAAGTCGCTCCAAGTGACTGACGCCGAAGGTGTGTGCGCAGCAGGCAGAGAGGGAACGAGCACTTTCTCCCAGGAGACACCAATCCTCCATTAGAGCCGCTTCATCAATAAGTGATGGGGAGGCATCAGGAGCAGACAATGGGGCAGCACATGGATCCTATGCACAATGCACTCTCTAATTTTAGTTCACCTCCATGGGGGAGGTCAGCGACTGAATAGTCAGGGTAAAGGACACAAACGACACAAAACCAAACAGGGAAGCAGGTTTCAGATCGGTGAATTGTTGTGGTTGCTCCTCTCTGTGGGGTGGGGGGTGGTGGTGGGAGGATGCAGATAAAGAAAAACCATGAAGGTAGACTAAGAAGAAACTGCTGTTTCCTCCCATGAACCACACATTTATGAGATAAAGTCAAAACAGATGTCTGATAACGACTGATTTAAAGTCGTAGGGAAATTAAATTTAAATGTGAAATCATTGTGGCTTAAACATGTATATAAATATACTCTTTATAAGACAATATTGTTTCAAAATGTAGAAATTTCTGTCTTAAAATCTGTGTTTTCATTTTCGTTATCTTATGCAGGTCAGTTAGTTATACGTCATCTTGTACACCTAATTTCAGCCAATCATATGTCAAAGGTCATCTGTCAATCTAATTTTTTTATAGCATGTTGATTTATATGTCGCAGCTAATATACGCAGCGGTTGAAATAAGAATTATTTACTTTCCCATTGAGTTCCGTCCCAGTGTTCACGGGGATGGACGTCTGTGTCTTCAGCAGGCGTAGAGCTAACAGAACTGGCAGCGTTGCGAGGCAAGGGCTCAAACATGTACGGCTGGAAGCCTTCTACACCAAACCAAGCTTCTGCCGCCCTGGCGTCCTCTTCTACAACATCTTCATCCCCGCTTTCCTCCTCTAAATAAAAAATGTATGATGGAGGAGACTCATCCACGACCTCCGTCACTAAACTCTCCTCTTGCATGTTTCCTCTGTCCATAGCTTTCCTTAATAGTGTCATTTCTAAGTCACCAGTTTAGTGCTACTTGGTCCCAATATAATTTCCCATTGGGAACCTGCTAGCACTAAGTTGCTAACTGGTTAGCAAGATGCTTCCCAGAAACCGGCCACAATCAAACTTGCTTGTGAACCTTCCGCCACAACAATCGGTGGGATTGATAAACGACCAATCACATTCACTTTATTCACTTGTGTAAAGTCGTGCAGCACTTTGGAGAATTCGGGAGAAAGGTTGGAACAGCCCTTTTCCTATGACTGTGAACTAAGCTGGGCTCCGCTTTGATCCATATCAACTTTGTTTTCCATTCATATTTTAAAATGTTACAGAATTAGTTTAGAAACACCAATAAACTATTTTAAATAACTGAGATGTGAAAGATTGGATCCAAAAACACTGAAGCTCTGGGCTTTTGGTTTGGTCAAGACATTCAATCATATCACTAGCTCACTGCTACTCCAGCTGGTACTTTATGTATTTTTTATTTATTTTTTTACTGCTTGGAATGGGGGTCTTTTGGCCCCCATTCCAAAGGGGTGGACCCGTTCGTCCCCAATTTGCATGTTTTCTAAACCAAAACAAGGCTTTGTTTGGCTACTGTATAAAGCCTTCAACTCAACGCTATTTCTGACATTTTGAATTGAAAAAGCTTCCTGGATGAGAAGCGAAACTTCTTCAAACTTGGAAACAAAGTCCAGTGGATTTTTTTTTTAAACTTTGTTGGAATCTTTAAATAAAGTTTTCAACGTTTTTTTTCCTCCGCAACTACAAATCGTTAAATTCTGGGAAGAGTTGGACGCAATGGTGGAAAAAAAAACAGTCTCCATTGCTTCCAAATGCTTCCTTTTCATGTGTGGACTCAAATATTCCAAGTTATCAGGGAGCGGAGGCGGTGGCTGGCTGAGGCCAGACTCTGAGCTACAATTAAATTCAGTTTATTTCTATAGCACCAATTCACAACACATGTCATCTCAAGGCACTTTACAGTTCAACAGATCATCCAGTCAGATTGATTCAAAGTTTTCTATCTAAAGAAAACAAGTTGGTTGCATCGACTTATTGACTCAAATGCAATTCCTCACACTAAGCATGCTAGTAGCAACAGTGGAGAGGAAACACTCCCTTTGAACAGGAAGAAACCTCCAGCAGAACCAGGCTCAGTGTGAGCGGCCATCTGCTGAGGCCGACTGGGGTTTAAGGAGACAGAAGAGGACGAATGATTTAAAGGTCCTACTAAGGGCTGAAAAAAAGAGCTTTATTTAAAGCCACCAGCAAACTGCGAAGAGCCATAGCTCTATGTAAGTGCTTAGCAGGAATTACTTTATGGGTTCATCACACGTAGGGCTGAAACAATTAATGGGATTAATCGATTATTGAAATAATCATGGACTAATTTAGTAATCAAATAACCGTTAAATAGGGTATAGAGAATCTAAAACATGCCTTTAGCTGAAACAGAAACTCACTATTGAAAAAAAAAAAAAACAGGTAAATCCTTTGCATTTAAGATAAAAATATTTTTTCCTCTGTCATTCTGCTCTTTCCAGAACTCAAGAGGAAAACTTTTAGTTTCACCTGGTTTAATTCTGTAAAAAGAACTTCTTTAAATGGTAAATGGCCTGTACTTATATAGCGCTTTTTCAAGTCAGGAGACTTCAAAGCGCTTTACACTACATTCATTCACCCATTCACGCACACACTGATGGTGGCAAGTTACACTGTAGCCACAGCTGCCCTGGGGCTCACTGACAGAAGCGGGGCTGCCGTACACTGGCGCCACCGGGCCTTCTGACCAACATCAGTAGGCAATGCCGGTGAAATGTCTTGCCCAAGGACACAACGACACTGAAAGCCGGAGCCGGGGCTCGAACTGACAAGACTTCGATTTCAGGGCATTTTAAATTAATCAATTGGCAAAATAATTGCTAGTTGCAGCTCTAAGTTTAACTGAATCAGATAATCCAATGATCTGTTTCACTGCTGCTTCCAGCTTTAAAACAATATCATCAGACAGTTATACAGGCGGAGGGCTTTGATCATGGCTTATATGCTTTATGATTGTGTTTTTAGCTCTAAGCTAAATTAAAAATTAATTAAGGTTTAATATTTATTCTGATTTATTGCAGCTCTGTCACATAAGGCTCTTCATAGGAATACGTGGTTTCTTTATTCTTCTGGTTTATAGACCATTGCATATCTGTCTACTGAACAGGGGGGCTGGCCAATCGAGGGCGCTAGGGCGCCACTCCCCTCACGCAATGACCTTGATTAAGACATAAGAAACAAATAAAAATTAAATAAAAAAATAAACTATCCCAAAATATATTCATATATGTTTTAGATGTGCAAGATAAATATCTAATCTTTAATGACAAGTAAAGCTGTTTCATTTGTAGTCACAATGGTGACATATTACCGAAAATCTCCCCCTATAGACTCTGGTTAAAAGTTGTCCATAGGCAGCAGCTCCTCTTCAATGGTAAAGGTAGGAGCATCCTGCTGAAAGCAGCTTTATTTGCTCACCATCTCCCCCCACAGCGCGGATGTAACAGCCATCTGTTAGAAAGTGTGGCTGATTGACAGGTTTATAGAATTATTTAGCAACAAGGCTCGGCTAACTGCATGCAGCGAGGCTAAGGCTTTATTCTGCTTTCCCTGCCTCCTTTTTCAAACGTCTGGATCTGACCCAGCAAGGATAAATACAGCTAGGACTGATTTAAAGCACTTTGCAGAACATTTTAAAATGTTGTTTTTTGTTGTTGGCATTCATGTAAATATACTGGTGTGATACCTTAGTATTCATTTGATTGGTTTTTGGTATACGTCTATTTTGAAGTTATAGCATCCACTCTACACTATGCGTATTTCCTGTTTGGTACCTTACCGGCTTGTTTTGTTTGTATGACCGCCATTGTGGAAAACGACTTGTGAAGATTAACCAGCTAGAAGAGTGAGGTGCGCGAGAATGCTGGGACCCTTTTTCCACCTGGATCCCCGCTCTTTTTGGCCCTAATGTCCCTCCGTTGTCCCACAAACTTGCCCCCACTTCCTCACCGCCTTGGCTCTATCTAGACCCACAGCTAGTTCCTGATTGTCCCTCTTGCGTTGTGGCGTGGAATAATATAGCACAGAACACGCTTCAATATTGGGCATAAATCAAAAATATCTGCGACACTCTGCTGCGGGAGGATAACCAGGCCTTTAGGCACCTCCTATTCACCATCCCCATGCTCCCCCTGACCCAGATCTAAATAAACGACGAGTAGTTATCAACGTGGCGGACAACAGTCAGTTGTATGCTATGTCACCGGGGGACTGGGTAAAAGCAGAGAAACGCCACATCTATGAGGAGGACTCGTCAGGATGGGTCCCTGTTAGAGTGAAACTGTTGTTCAAACGCAGGACTTTAAATCTTCCAGGCCTGTTAATGCGGCTCATAACTGGAGTCTGACATGCAGCAGAAATCATGTTCTGCGTTTTTCCATTTATTTGTGGTTTATTTTCGGTTTAACCTCTAAACAGCAGCATTGTCCTGAATGACCCTGATAAGTTGTTTTTTTTGGTTGTATGAATTATTGATACCTAAAAGGGGACCCCTGTCTGCCAACCTCACCCCCCCATCCCAAGAGCGATCCGCCATTCACATCTGATTTGTTTTACTTCACTGATCCCCCAAAAAATCCTGCCTGAAACCTTTGAGCACCTGCTGTCCTAAATCAATGCTTTCTCCTGCAATATGTTGGGGCGCTGCTGAGAAATCCTGCATGTCAAGCATTTACATCGCCTCCGACACCACGGAGACGCCTGAGCGTGGAAATGAGGCAGAATGACTCACCACGACGCCGCCAGCGCTCCTTCTGGGAAATGACTGAAGCCGAGGGCACACAGTAGATTCCACTGGGTTAAATATGTAGTGTGAAAGTACATCGACCCTTTCAGAGTTATCACAACAACAACTGGAGTAGGATTTACACACTGCAAAAAATTAAAATCTACGTTTATTTTTCTGAAAATAAGAGAATTTTGTCTTGAATTAAGCAGTTATGTGATACACCTTGGCAATGGAATAAGGCAATTTACATTTAAAATAAGAAAAAAATAACTGCACTCTCTTATTTCAAGTGCATGCTATCTAATTATATTGTTTTATACTTATTTTAAGAGGCAGATCATCTTATTTACCTGCTGAAATTAAGGGTAAATAAGACATTTCTACTCATTTTAAGACTGTTTTTGCAATGCACTACGTAGAATTCTAATTTAATACTATTTCCGAGTGGGACCAAATGCACTCTTTAAGTGTTACCTTAACACTGCAAAATTTATTGTGCAGAATGGGAATTTTTCAACTTCTAAAGCAGAAAACAGTGAACATAGAAACGTAGACATGGCCAGACGTGAGGAGGAACGTTGGCTCCACCACAAAAAAATTAAGGAAAGAAATTCCTCATGAACAGAAGATAAAAACCAAATCCAATTTAAATTTGCTCCCACTGAACAACGGGAGAAACTTTAATCCAGGAAATCAGAGTTTTTGTCATAAAACATGGAAACTATGGGAGCAATATTGTTGCAGAATTATTTGCAAATCTGTGTGGAGAGTTGTGTCTCTTTTTCCCCCCTGTCTTTAGGCAGAAAACCCCCCCACATTTCATCACAAATATAGTGAATAATGAGAAGATGTGGAGATGCTTGACATCATGGCAGAAGAAGCAGCACACTGCAAAAACCATCTAGAAATGAGTAAACATTTTTTAAATTACGTGTATTTAGCCTGAGCAGGCTAATTAGACGCTCTACCAATGGAATGAGTATTTTACTCCTAAAATAAGATAATTAGATAAGATGCACGTGAAATAAGACAATGCAATTGCTTTTTCTTATTGTAAATGTAAATTGTCTTGCTCCATTGGCAACATGCCTCAAAAAAGAACTTATTTTAAGAAAGAAAAATGATTTCTTTAGCTTTCAATTTTTTGCAGTGTAGGAGGCCTCATCATGTTTTCATCATGTCACGGAGGCATGGAGGCAGAAAAAGAGCTGAAATGGTCCATCCACTGAGTGTCATGACCTGGCCTGATAGCTTCACCCTAATTGTTCATTTGACTCACCTGCCTAGTTCTGCCCGGTTCCTAATTTTCCACCTGCGTCTGTGCTTTATATTCGGTTCAGCCCGAGCGATCAGGGCCAGATCATTGTTCCTGCGACATATGAATCAAGATGCTATGACCGAAAAAATTTGATTGACAGATGACCGTTGATATATGATTGGCAGAATTTAGGTGTTCAGACTGACGTATAACTAACTGGCCTGGATAAGATAACAAAAAAAAAAAATTTATTTTATTTTTTAAATAGAAATGTTCTAAATTTTGGGACAATATCTGATAAAGATTACATTTAGATACATGTTTAAGCCAGAATGATTTGAAATTTAAATATGATTTCCCTAAGACTTTAAGGAAATGTAGTTCAATCCCTCCTTAAAGCTCAGGCTAAACCTCCAGTCGGTCATGATCTACTCTACTTTGGGAGCACAGAATAAAAACTGTCTGTGTCCGATTAAGGGGCTGCATCCTCTAAACATGGCATTCCCAGACAGGATGCAGCCCCTGTTTGTCTGAAGCTGAGAAACAGAGTGAAGAAGAGGCCTACTGTGGGCTGAGCCTGAGGTCCCACTGTCGAATGAAGGTATCGTAGCCGCAGGTGAAGAGCTGGAACGGAGACTCAAATGCAATGTCCAGAACTCCTGCACCGCGCCGGAAGTCCGAGCCCAGACTGCACACGCAGGCTAATCTGTGGAGGAAAGCAGGAAGATTATTGCTTTAGACGTTACGCACATGTCTGAGAGGTAGCCAGCTCTGACAGATAGAAATAAAACCCATGAATAGGATTTAAAAGGGCAGAATATGACGTTACACTGAAAAACATAAAAATCGAGATTAGTCATTTCTTTCTTAAAATAAGTGCATTTATTCCTGGATTGAGGACATAAAAAAGACATTTTGCCAATGGAACAAGACAATTTACATTTAATATAAGAAAACACAATTGTATTGTTTTATTTCAAGGTTATTTTATTTTTTTTATTTTATTTATATTTTACTTATTTTAAGAGTAAAAATACTCATTCCATTTGCAAACTATCTCAATTACCAACTCAAATTAAGGTAAATACAATTAATTTAAGACATTTTTGCTTATTTCTAGATCGTTTTTCCAGTGTATGGAGAAGCTCCTCCAAACGTCTAAATTGAACCTGCTCAGCTTCAGAGAGTCATGGAGGAACCAAGAGGAACCATCTGACCTTTAGCTCCACAGATCTGGACCTTCTGGAACTTTCCTGGATCCCATAAAGGTCAACATTTATATAAATCAGTTTGCTTTTCCTCAGGTCTGGTTTCCAGAGGACTGATGTTCTAAAACATTTCAGCCATTCTTCATTAAAACAAGGAGGATTGAATATTATGAAGGAAATTCCTGAAAATATGACTACGAGAGGAAGACGTTAAAATCGAGTTACACAAGGAATGAGTTTTTCATCTCTTCCACATCCTGAAAGTAGACCTGATGAGCATCAATCATCACTCTTCTCTGCTTCATGTCCTGGACAACAACTGGTCAGAGATCAGTTAATGAAACACAATTTCATACAATATATATAATTAGGGGGTCTCCGCTCCATCTCGCCATCAGCTTAGGGGTCCTTGGCCTGGAAAACGTTGAAGACCCCTGGTTTAAAGTAACAGATTAGAATTAAAATTTTACTGGTTGATGATTTTCTTTATTCGGACCCCACTGATTTTAATTGGTGATCCTACACTATAGGTTTATACCAGTAAACAGGTAAAGCCTCACTAAGATCAAATCAAGGGCAGAAATAAATTCAGAGAACAATAATGCTACTTTCACACCTAAAGCAGCAGAGGCAGCAGGAGCAGCTAGTTTACATGCAAAGTCAATGGTTGACGTTCATCAAGGTGCAACAAAAGCTCCTGCAGCACGTTTGGAGCAGCTGAAGCAGCGCGTTGTGAGCTTCTGAGTTTCTAAAGTGCTGAACACGCTGCAAACGCAGCAGCTGCTGGAGATGGAAAAATTGAACTTTTGCTGCTTGACACGCCACATCAACCAATCAAGGAGGTTATCTGGGAGCTGGCAGGGAGGCAGACACAGCACTGCTGATGCAGATCACTATGATCACTCCTCTTAAACAGTTAGTAACGCCTAAATGAACTTAAAAAAATTTAATCTGCCGGGAAAACATGTTCCCTTTTATTATCCTGGTTCCTGCAATTTGGATTACGTACATCAAAACTGCCTTCCAGCTGCAACGGCAAACCGCCAAGAGGCGACCAGGCCATAGGCTGCTGTTGAATGGGATTCCTAGTGACAGAACACCGCGGTTCAGACAGTGAAATAATACTTGAAGGTAGGATGGTAATCTGGATGAACTGACGGCACAGATTAAGTTTTCAGGTGGACTACTACTTTTTACCTGCTGATCACTGCAAAAATAGCTGCCATTGTTACAGGCAAAGAAATGATAGGGTAGCTCCGCCCACCGTGCATCAGAACTTTCCCACCGCGCAGCTAAAGCAGCAGAGATGCTTCAGCCATGCGTCAGAACTAAACTTTAAGAAGCATCAAATGAAGCAGCATGCGCGTTTTTGCTGCTCCTGCTGCTTTAGGTGTGAAAGTAGCATGATAAATGAAATCACAGACTTATCATACATGAAGAAGGGTTAGGCTAATAGATCAACCATCAGGTCATCTAGAGGAACAAACAAACACTGAATACTTTAGCCAAAGCATACCCGTGAATAAGAATGGCCTAGTCAAAGTTTACAGTCAAATATAACGAAGAATCTGAGACAGTTGAAGACTGATGTCCACCAATGTTCTCCGTCCAGTCTGCCTGACTTGGAGCCATCAGATTCTATAGACTAGGTCTTTCTTCAGCTGGACCTGCAGCCAAAGTCCTGGTTCTGTAGGATCTTAACCCAATAGGGCTGAATATAAACATTTCAGTTTTTTTGGTAAATGGTTTCTAGCCGCCTCCCTGTCTTGCCCCCCCAAATAAATGATGAGGTTTAGCTAAATGATTGCTGAACTCCCAGCAGCTTTGGTCTCTGGACCGCAGCTCTGTGAACTGAGGGTGTGGTAATGACTCCACCTCCCAGCACCACCATGCTCTCGTGATCACAGCTCCCAGTATGGACCTCTTGCTTCTCAGCACTTGATTACTGGAGAATAACCTGCCCCCAGTAGGGTAGATGATTGCAGAATAACTGTCTCTTTGTTGCCATTTAATTCCCTCCATGACCGTGACTGTGTGCTGCTCTCACGCTGGTGATACCTGCCTCGTAGCAACCATTTAAAGGAGGCTGGTGGCCTTAGTGACACAACACCACTATGCTTCAACATCAGCCCCCCCTCCCTTGCCCTGGAGCTCAATCTGCAGGTTTCAGCTGGTAATCCCCCAGCCTTGCCCCAGGGGCCTTCTTATTGGGCCCAGGCTTTGCCCACGGGGGGCCTTATTGGGTGAGAGGGCTCTCATTGCCAGAGCCAATGGGAGGCTGGGACAAAGTGCAGTTTGGATTTGTGGGAAGAGTAAGTCCTTATTTTCTCCTAATTGGTAAACCCCAAACTTTAGCAAATGTCTGAAAAAACAGAAACCGGCAGGGAACCAAACATTCTAATGCTATGTTCACATTTAGGCATTAGAAAAGCACCTGCTGCTTCATTCCTGATGCTTGTCCACATTAAGGTCAGACGTCCAGTAAAGTGTGTCCAGATGCGTCTGATGCTTCTGCTGCTTCTGTGTTCAGTGACAGAGAGCGGCTTTAATATATTTGCTGTGATCAGTGGGTAAAAAAGTATTTTGAATATATTTTAAAGTGAGAAAGTCGTCCTGAAAGCATCATCTGTTCAGTCAGTTCATCCAGATTACCATCCTGCCTTCAAATATTATTTCTCTGTTGGGGCCGCTCAGACCCCCACAGAGCATGTGCACAGAGCGGAGCGCCACGCAATTCCCGCTCCCTCAAATTTTCAGGGGAAGCAATTTTTCCTTCATGTAATTATGCCATCAGCTCATTTGCGCATGCAGAACTAGATATTCATCCGGGTCACCATCGATTATACTTTGTAAAATAGACCTAAATTCTGTCCCTTCCCTTCACACTATAATGTGTTAAAGGTTAATAATGTATTTTCTGAGAAAATAAATGCATTAAAATCCTTGCTCCAGCCTGAAACCCTCTCTGCGCTCCATCATATTTCTTTCGCTCCGCTACGATGCTCCACACTCCGCCCTGCTCACATGCTCTGGACCCCCGCATACCGGCGGTGCGCTGTCACTAGGAATCCCCAGCAGCAGCTGCCTCAGGCCTGGTCGCCTTTTTGGGGTTTTTCCCCTACTGTTGGTGGCGGCTGGAAGTAGATGTTAGCTTTTTTTAGGTATGTGGTACAAACTGCAGGCACCAGGATAATAAAAAAACATATTTTACCAGCAGGTTTCTACATGTTAAGTGAATTTAGGTGTTAAAGGTACACTATGCAACCGGTGTTGATTTTCCAGTGAGGCTCCCTCCAGAGGGCGAAAGTAAAAGTGCACTGTCGTAAATATGCTCAGCTGTTCTCCTGGTTTCTCCGTCAAGCCAGGCGCGGTTGTTTTGAGCTTAGCAGCGAATGACTAACGCTGCGTTCACACTGGACGTAGCTGGCGCGACAGAAGCAGCGAGTTTACATGCAAAGTCAATGGTTGACGCGCGTCAAGGCGCAACAAAAGGTCCCGCGGCGCGTTTTGAGCACCAGGCGCAGCACGTCGGAGCAGCTGAAGCAGCGCATCGGGCGCGTTTAACGCAGGGAGAGAGACACAGCGCTGATGATCACTCCTCTTAAACAGTTTATTGACGCCTAAATTAACTTAAAATGCAGAAATCTGTCGGCAGAATATGCAGTTTGGATTATTTAGATGAAAAACACCTACCAGCTGCCGCGGTGAACCGCTGCTGATGAAGGGATCCATACTGTCGGCGCCCCGCTGGTATGTGGGGGTCTGAGCGGCTCCGACAGAAAAAATATGGAAGGCAGGATAATAATCTGAATGAACTGACTGCACTGATTACGTTTTCAGGTGTATTTTCTCACTTAAACACATATTAAAACTACTTTATTCCCACTGATCACAGCAAATATAGCTGCAAGGCAGAGAAAGGATAGTGAAGCTCCGCCCAACGCGCGTCAGAGCCACTTTTGCATCGGGCAGCCAGAGCAGCAAAGCTGCTTCAGCCACGCGTCAGAACTAAACTGGTACAAGCAGTAAAAATTAAGCAGCAGACGCGATTTTGCTGCTTTTGCTGCGTGAACGTAGCATAACTGCACAAAGATCGCCACTGTGCTAGCAACGAGAATGCTTTTAACTGGGGCGTGTAGCAGTTCTCGCCGTAAAGCAAGACTGACTCTCACGAGACTTCTGAGCCTGTGGGTGCGGGTCGGTGCTCCTGCAGTTGCAAGTGCAGTATTTCCCCCACAGACCACCAGGGCGGCCGAGAATACCTTTGTTCAACCTGAAATGACTCATTTAGTCATCCATAACGTTATGGAACACATTAATTAACTGAAAAATGTTGCATAGTGTCCCTTTAATAAACAGTTTAAGAGGAGTGATCATAGTTCTCTGCTTCAGCAGTGCTGTGTCTGACTCCCTGCCAGCTCCCAGATCAGCTTCTCTGATTGGTTGATGTGGCGCGTCAAGCAGAAAAAATTTTTTTTTTCCAACTCCAGCAGCTGCT